CCCCCCCCCCCCCAAAAAAAAAACATTATTTACCCTTTATACCATTGTTTTCTTCCTCTCAAATTCCCTCTCTCAACTTAATATTTTTAATTATTTCTTCTCAATACTAAAAAGTCGGTTCTTCCTGACTCGATTTCTTAATAGTTTTATTAAATAGAAGCAAATTAGTTTATTAATAATTAAATTATTTTATGGGTTAATTAAAATAGGTAGGTGAGACAGAGTAGAATAAATAGAATTCTTTTTTATAAATATTCAAATTAACCTCTAAATATTAAATATGAACATCTATTATATATTTTGTATGATAATATTTTTAGGAGCTTTTTTCAATAAGAAGGTTTGTAAGGATTTTTTTTTAATCTTTTTATCTAATATGATTTTTATGTATCATAATAATTTATGAATTAAATATTAATATTTTAAAATAAATTATCAATAAATAAAAATAAATGTTTATTATAATACAAATTTTTATCATAAATCTAAAATATAATTTATATATTTAAAAATATTTATATATACTAATTTTAAATATAATTTATATATTCAAACATAATATTTATCTAGATATATAATTTAATATAAATTTTAATTATATATAATAATCATATATGTGCATTATACTAATTAAAATATTAATATCTTTCTATGATCAGATCCTTAGAAAAGGAATTAATGTGTCATTAGTAAGTGATATTAAATTTAACCAAATCTCTTACTCTGATAATCTATGGGAAGATTAGTTCTAAAACATGAGGAATCAGTTAATGCTTTCAAATTTGATTCTTGTTTGCTTGACAAGTGAAACTAAATTCAAATTCCTAAAGTAATATACTAGTTCAAGCAATATCTTTATTAAGATCAAATCCTTATTTTATGTTCACACACACATAAAAGAAAGGTTGTTAGGATATATTTTTTTTTTGTGTCCAAAACACTACATATAAGTCATTTTTATATATTTTTTAATTCATTAAAATACATAATTATAATAAATAAGACGATTATGATATATATATATATAAAGATAAATATTTGAATTTAATAATTAAATTTAAATTAATACCAAATATACATAGAAAACAATATTCCTTTTTTTTTACAAGGAAAGCAATATTTAAAAAAAAAACTCATTAATACTTTTTTTTTCATCCTCACCAATATCTTCTATTTAACTTGTTCTACACGTGATAGTAGTCATTAATACATAATTAAAAAAATAAAAGAACATTAAATTACAAATTAATACCAGTTTCTTTTATTTTTTTAATTATATTTATTAATTAACTGTTAAATTGTCCTAATTTTTATCCCTGCTTTACATTTAATTTTTTTTTTTTAAATTGATATACTTAATTGCCAAACTCCCTAATATTTTTCATCTATTGAAATTATAATGATTATGAAATAGTAGTCACTAATACGTTTTTCAAAAATAAAAGAACATTAAATAACAATACCAGTTCCTTTTATTTATTTATTAATTATATTCATTAGTTAACTTTTAAATTATCCTATTTTTATCCATGTTTTACATTTAATTTTTTTAAAAAATTAATATCCTTAATTATCAAACTCTCTAATATTTTTTTATTTATTAAAATTATAATGATGTATCATAATTCGAACTTTAGATCCTGTGCATATTATTCAAATTCCTTGTCAATAAGGTAATCTTAGTGATATAAGGTTCTTTTTTATTTCAGAAAATGTTTTTGTTTTCATTTCTTGTTTTCATTATGAGGAAATAGTTTTAATTTTCAAATTTTGAAATTTAGAAAAATATCTAATTTAACTATTTTATTTTACAAATTTTACAATAAAAATTGAATAATAATTTGATAATATATATTAACAATAATATTAAAATCATTATATTGCTTATCTACAACTAATAACTAACTAACTATATATATATATAGGTCTGTCTATATATATATATATATATATAAATTATTAGAATAACTATCTATTCTATAAATTTACTTATTCCACTTTCTCACATTTATGTTATTTAAATATTCTCATATGAGAAGGAACATTATTCTTTTAACATGTAATTTTTTTTATATTTTTCATTTCAAAGTACATATCTTTTAACATTATTCTTTGGAGATTTGGCTTTCCAGAGAGGATTATCAAGCTTATCATGTGGGGCGTAACAAACTCATCCTTGTCTGTACTTTGGAATGGAAGCAAGCTACCCTCCTTTGCACCAACCCGAGGCTTAAGACAAGGAGATCCTCTCTCCCCATATTTATTCGTATTATGCATGGAACGACTAGCTCTCAGAATTAATGAACTGAACAGCGAGGGCAGCTGGAACCCAATCCATCTCTCTCCAGGAGGACCACCCATCTCGCACCTCCTTTTTGCAGATGACGTTATACTTTTCAGCCAAGCAACAAATGATCAAGTCCAAGTAATGGCTTCTGTGCTAGAGAACTTTTGCACCGCATCGGGTCTCAAGATAAATCTAGAGAAATCAAAATTTGTGGTCTCAAAAGGGGTGCCCAGCGCGAGAATTGAGCAATTAGAACAGACACTGGGTATTGAACATACACCTCGATTTAAAAGATATCTCGGGATACCAATGTTCCATGGGAAAGCCAAGATTGCAGATTTCCACCATGTAATTGACCGTATTAATGACTGCCTAGCGACTTGGAAGGGACGTCTTCTTAACAAAGCGGGTAGGTTATGTCTCATCAACTCAGTCGTCACATCTATCCCTCTATATAGCATGCAATCTCTTTGGTTACCCCAAGCAGTTTGTAATAGGATCAATCAAGCCAGCAGAACCATGCTTTGGGCCAAGGCGGGTTCATCACGATATTGGTCTTTAGTAGGCTGGAATACTGTCACTCGCCCGAAAGAGTTCGGAGGGTTAGGTATCAGGGAGTCTCGACAGGTCAACATCTCTCTCATTGGTAAATTGATATGGGACCTTCTCCACTCACCGCAAAAACCTTGGGTCAAGATTCTGCAAGCAAAATATTTACATGGGGCATCCGTATTGCAAGCGAAGAAGGCTAACGGTGCATCTCAAGTGTGGAACAGCATTGTTAAAGCCCTCCCCTATTTGCGACAAGGCTTCTTTCCAAAGCTTGGTGCAGGTAACTCTTCTCTTTGGTATGAAGATTGGTTAGGCACAGGGCCTCTTTGTAGAGAAGTGCCATATGTCCACATAAGTGATACTGATAGAATAGTTGCACATTGCTGGCAACAAGGAGCTTGGAATTTTGATTCACTCTTTACTCGTCTCCCTATGGAGTTGGTTAACCGTATTCAACAAGTTCCCATCCCTTCCTCTCCGGCAGGCGCTGACATGTTCTCTTGGGCAGGCGACTCTTCCGGATGCTATACAGCAGCTTCAGGCTTTAGGTTCCTCTTTTCACCCGACCATGGTCTTGCAGACCCTGTATGGAAGCGTGTTTGGAAACTGCATGTCCCAGAAAAAATTAAGTTCCTTTTATGGCAAGGCTTACACTCATCCATACCGACAAATCACTTTTGTTCTCTTCGCCATTTAGATTCTGTGGGAAGTTGCCCCCGCTGTTCCTGCCCACAAGAAACCATTCTCCATGCCATTCGAGATTGCCCACACTCTCGGGAAGTAT